TTTGACCTAGCTAATAGCAGCTCAGAGGTATTTTAGAAGCATACTGTAAGTCTGCTAGAAGTGCAACATGAAGCGGCTGCTGGTTCAGTAGCACTGAAAACTGATGCTGGGTTCAGCCTTCTTACAAAAATTCTTTAGGCTAAACGTACCCTCTTTGAACACAGTTAACACTTAGCTCAAACTGCAGCAACAGAGGAATCCAAGGACTACTGATGAAGAATGTCCATCATTGTTACTGCATTCGAGAAGAAACGTTTGTCTATGACAAAATATATAGGCAGAAAAAGAAAACTAAAAAGCTGAACGTGCGGCAATCAAGGCCAACAAAAACAAGAGATGCCACCTGGTGGTTACAGACAAAGGTAGCGAATTAAAGACAAACTTCAAAGTGAAAAAGAACTACCCTAAAGGCAAAGCAACTAGAAATAAGGATCTTGGCCTAACTGGCTTCTCTCTGCACTTCAGTTGACTGTAAGAGGGAGAAGAGAGACATCACACCAGGACCGAGGTGAAAAATGCCTCTGATTAATATAATCCTAAAATATGCTTATAATTGCACTAGAAGGAGATGTTACGGATTTGCTTTTCCATAAAAAAAATCCATGCTTATAACCCTCTTTGAAAAGTAAGACAGTATCACTAGTGAAATGAACTTAAGTGCATGTCTGAAAGATTCAGATTTTGCTACTGGGAACACTTTCATTGACTAGGGAGCTGGTAGAAGCATCCGTTGTGTCTAATGAGGAACGAAAGCAGATGCTGGAAAACAAAGACCTTCCAGGGAATAAGGTTACCTTTACCTAGGAACATATTCTGAAGCACTATCTGAAGACTCACAAGCTTTTAAAGTCAGCAGGACTCCACTAAGAGCCAACAAAACCTTGCCCATCTCCCTGTCTCCCCCAGGTGAAGAGCCATTATCTGTTAGAACCTGGTGCTCCAAAAGCAGAGCAGCTGCTCTTAAGAAGCGCTCTTGGGTGCCTATGGATAAACACACTCAGACAGCAGCAACCAAGAGGATCTCAACCTCAGTAGTCAGGGTAAATCACTTGTACCTCCAATATGAGGGAAGAATTTTAACAGAAGCAGCTCATCCCCCTCTCTTCATCCCTGCCTTGGGAATCACCACCTCCCAGGCACGTAGGTTCAGCTGCAAGGAGAGAACAATGGCTTCATTCATTAGAAAGAATTATTGGTCATTTCTCATGGAGGGACCAGATTCTTACTGTCACTTCTGTGACAATTTTACAGACTTTTTTTACCTCACTTGTAAAATGCAATAAATGTGTGCATACCTTTTCCTGGAATGACACAGTTCTACCCAATAGGGACATTTTAGCAAATTATTAGAATCTGAAAGCCTTTTATAAATTTTTAAGCTAAAAATGCACTTTATTCCCATTTACTTACAGTCTTGTCCATGTAAAACTATTTACAATTTGTATTTCTCTATTTGTTCAAGATCCTCATGACCACTGTAACAGCCTCTGGAATTCCAAACACCTCATAGAAAAGCTTTTATTTTACTCTCAACTTTAACAATAAACCAAGTTGCCTTTTTGCATTTAGTCCAGTTTGGCTCCATCTTCTGCCCAAAGATACAAACTACATCTGGTAACATTTTACATAAGATTAAAAATATGCAACTCAAAGTTTTTAACCTTACAAAGTACTTGAAGAATGAGAATAGAGATGAGAACCATCCTCATCAGTTCAGTTGATAAGGTTCACATATTGATAACTAAGAGAATTAACAGCTGGAACACCTGTAATGAAGACATTCAACAGTTACATTACATCAGTAGTTTCCAGGTGACTTTCAAGCTTCCAATAGGAAAGGCAGCCCCAGGTGGACATCCAGAAATACAACAGTTGTGCTTTACTACAAGGACAACTATCACCAAAAAAAATGAAAATAAAGTGGTAACATTCTCAAGTTTCATGTTTCTGTATCACAGCACCAGGGATTTTTTCCCAGTTCACTGAGGCAATAGGGGCTGTACTCCTGACGCTGACCCAGAATACAAGCACCAGCCCTGTGTTGCCATACTTAAGCATCTACCACAACCACCATGCAGATCCTGCAAGTCAATACATCTGAGCCCAAGCTGCCTGGGCACAAACAGTAGATGCACCATGGGGTACCCACGATTTCTATCACTTCTGGGATGTCCTACAGTTCAGAGCAAGTGTGTAGTTTCTCTGAATTCTTCCCTCAACTTTCAGGTGGAATAAATAGGACGCCTATGAAGAAACCCAACGACACAGTAACTATCAACAAAGCCTATTTGTAAGGCTCTAGGAATAATTTAATACACTGGCAGACAGAAAAGGCAACTTGTAAACTATGATGTTGAGCAGACCAGATATGAACCAGAACGCAACGAACACACACCTTAGAAACCTACTGCTCCGATCGATGCATTTCACAAATAGCTGTGCCACATCTTCAGATTTATACAGCAATCTGTGGCAAATCACAAGGGGTTAGACAGCAAAGAAAACTCTGCCACTGCTGACCTTAACCATGGCCAAAACCAGATTGGGAAAAACAAAAATTCTCCTTTAGGTTCTACAATACTAGCAGTTTTTCCAAGACAATTCTTCCTCCTTTGTACTTTCCTAAAATATACAGCAAGGATGGTTCTGGTTTTCTTTCTTTCGTGCAGTTCTATCGCTCAAGTTGAGCTGGTATGGATTTTGCTAAATAACCTACCTTACTCCATCCTTCTTCAATTCTAACTATAGCTCCTAACTTTAGCAACCCAAGCTCGTCATAGGGCATCTGCAGCACCACACAAAGGCTGCACTTTGACATCTGCTGGAGGTGGTGTGTGCTGTTTCAGCCCTTCCCATTCCAGTCCCATTCACAGCAGCATTACTGATAACACACTCAGTGAATCAGGTGAAGGAACTGATGCCTTTGTTTTTCCACTCTTGGAGTATGTGGCTGCACAGCAGAAGGGCATCACAGCATTGAGGATGAGCATGTGGGAAGGAGCCTGCTCACAGACCAGGGTGTCTATCAGCTTAGAAAGTAGCCTCCATAGAAATGCCACTTTTGAAGGACAGAATTAAGTTTAGTAGTCATTTAGGTTCAGTCTAAAATATAAGCACCATCCCCCAAACTTACCTTGAAAAGGGATTATGAAAGTCTTCATCAATCTCCTAAGTTCTATGTAAGTACTTCTAAAGCTTGGTCTTTAGCAGACAAGACATTTGAAGCAATAGCTGAAAGCTTGTCTATTCTTACTGTATATAGTAAGAACAGACAAGTGGAAACACAAGTGAAAACACAAGTGAACACTGGGTTGTGTTTCCACCAGCTTGCTAGTTACCCATTTTCCCACTGTGCTTGATAACAAAGAATGGTAGACTCAATCCAGAGAAAAATTCCTATCACAGCTCAAACTACGCAAGTTACTTGGCTGCACTTAGGCACCATTATGCTGAGCAGAGTACAAAAAATCCCCAACCACCTCTGCTCTACCAGTCTACTTCCACTTTAATGAGATGATTTGATAAAAGTTGTGATCAGACTTAGATGGATTTAGTATGACACTTCTTAATAAGCACAGCTTCACAGCCTCTGAACTGCTTCTCTCTTCCCAAAATTCAAACTAACAGCTGTCAAGCTGATGCCCTAGCACTGGCAAGCCTACGGAGTTAGCTGAAAGTGCAGCCTGCTAACAGGCAAGTTATGTATCTGATGGTCATAGATTACAGACACTTCAAGTGTGTCCTCACATGCACTGGATCAAATGGCATGGAATCAGTCAACCTTAGGTATGAAGCTGTGGCAAGGTTCTTTAGGTCCTTCTCTGGACTTTGAACTCATTTCACCTGTAACTCAGAAACACTTTGCATATTCAGAGCTCTCTATCCAGAGGATACATTTCTTCAGGGTTCTTGAATATAAAGTGTATTCAAAGACTAAAAATTCTGGGACTTTGGGGCTAGTCTGGCTTCAGGTTTGTTCCATGTTTTGTACCCTTGCTTCTCTTCACTAGCTAGTGACTCCCCAGGACTACAGAAAGCTTTGTTATATCAGGTACAACATCCTCTTCCTTCTGGCTTAAGATTTACTGCAGGTAGCAACTTCCTACATGATTATCATTCCCTGGGGAAGCTACTCTATATCAACTTTAGCATTCTTTTCTTACGCTGCCCTTGTATGGCTAATATATGTACTCCTCAGCTCAGGAGACCTGTGGTAAATTCATGCTCTCTCTTCCTGCACTTCCTAAAGTTCTCAGTGGGAAGCAAGGGTGCTTGCAGATGAAAACCTATTGGATAGCTTTATTCTTCTGCTTTGTTGAAAGTGCCCTACAGAATAAATGCAATACACAAGTTGACTGTTTCTCACTGTACTATTTAAAGTTACATAAGGTACTGTTTCGGGTTATTTTCTTTTATATATATATATCTCTCTCTACTATTGCAACATCAACTGATTCTGGTTTTACAACTGCTTTGCTATCTAAGAAACATATTGATCATGGTAAAACCTGAAGTTTTCCAGGACACTACATCCAATTATTCACTACCCCTTTGCCAAAAGCCTAGGCAGAAGGAAGATTCAGATTTTGACTGGTGACTGTCACTTGACCCAACTTCTGCTGGTCTTTCAGGCTGAAGGGATACGAGGGAGGAACTGGTACACTGGCCAGGGTGCCAGGAAAAAAAGGGGACTGTGATTTGTTTTGACAAGATTTCTAGGGTCTTTTCAGACTTCTCAGTATCTTCTGAATCTTACTGCGTTTTTTTCCAGTTTAGGAACCAGAACACCATGAATTTTGATAAGCTCAGATTTTGGGCAGCTTTCTGCTGGCCTTGGCAATGTGCAAAAGTCAGGGGGAGAAGAGAAGAATGGCTTAAAAGAATTGCTTTGTCTCATACTGCTGAAATACGCAAGCCCAATATGACCAAAGAGCATTTACTCCATGTCAGTGGAATTCTCTGAAGACAACAACATAAACCAAAAACTTAATTTATACAAGTTACAGCAATAAAACCAATCATTTTAATTGAAGCCATTAAAAAAAAATCATGTGAGGCAATAGAAATGATAAAATTATACTTAAGACAGAAGAGCTAGCACTTTCTGAAGAGCTTTAAAACAGCAACAGACACTTTACAAAAGGTTTGAGGGAAGAGAATAAAATTTCCAAACTACAGGTACTGTAAAAAGGTAACATTAACAGTTATCTTATAAAATACAGCAACAGAGACAAAACGGATACTCAAGCTCCTTTGAAACTAAGCCTTCTGGGGTCTTGGTTAAAAGGTATGTTCAAAAGCTATTTTAAACAAGGACTAAATACTTCTTATTTCAAATTTACAGGTCCTTGGCATAAACATAGCACTATACACATCTTCCAACAAGCAGTAAGTACAGTTTCGTTTAACCATGCGTGGTGTCATCTTCTACAAAGTCTTTGGCCATTTCTGCTGTGATCACGTCAATATGACTAACCTGGTGGAACAAAAAGAAGTAAACAGTTACCACAGTATCTCCTGCAGAGTAAGACAGACTTATTCCTGAAGGCTCCAAGACTCAGCAGCAGGCCTATCATCAATTTCTCATTTCCTTTAAAGAACATAAACAAGACACATCTGTAGATATATGAATTCTTTTTCAGGAAGGAGAACTTTTACACCAGACTGTGATATAACTAGAAATCCAACACTGAATAAGACTGGTCCCACTTTGAACTCCTGTTAAATCAAGTCTCAAATGCCCAACCTGATAATGCTCCCACTAAACACTGTAACGTATTTACCTTGTTTCTGAATTTTACACCATAGAACTTGTCAGCTGACTCAAGCAGTTCAGGCCTGAAAGTTGTTGTAATAAACTGAGCATGTTCAGCTAGTTCCATAATCATATCTAAAAAAGAACACAAAGGTTTTTTAGTAATGCAATCTTTTAAATAAAGCAGGACAGGTCTTAATAAGAGACAGGCAAAATATGAGACAGGCAAGGAGTTATTCAAAACAAGGTTTTGGTTAATAAAATACACATCAAGAAAGGATCCATACTAGGTTTTTAAGTGTCATCATTAATTCCAGTATCAACTCTGAGAAATACAGCCACTTGGCAAAAGCAGTGGGGTATTAAAGCTTCTATGATTAAAACCAGAGTAAGCACTTTTCCAATGATGCAATGAGCGAAAAGTTCATTTTTATTAAATGAAACTACACTTCAAACTAGGGCTATTTCCACCACACTGAAGTGCAGTAAGGAGTCCCTTTAAACACAGTAGACAATACAGAGCTTCTACCTAAAACCAAGTTGATGAAAGCTTCAGAAGGCACTAAGTTAAATTCTAATAAATTCTAATGTTGGGATATTAAAAAAAAAAAAAAGTGCCTTTATGATTAAAAGCTTTTACCTTAAACATCAGAGATAAGATGACAAACTATCACCTTCAACCACAATGAAGACGAATAAAAGGCAGACAGGTACCTGAAACAGCTTTTCTGTGCTGAGCATCCAAGGCTTGGTCGATTTCATCAAACAAGTAAAATGGAGCTGGATCACATTTCTGGATAGCAAATATCAGGGCCAGGGCCACCAAGGATTTCTGTCCACCTGAAAGTTGCTGCATTTCTCTCATTTCGCCCTGCTTTCCTGTGAATGATACCTAAGAAAACAATGCAACAGCAAGATGACTTCAGAATATTAAACTGTAACATCTCTTCCTATGATAGTAAATGAACAGGATCAATTAAACTTTTTAAGAATATAGTTAAACAGCAATCTAAACAAATACTCAGAGTACTCGGAGTACTGAAACACAAGTATTTTTCCTTACCCTTATGCCAACTCCAGTGAACTGGTCTACAGATGGAACACTGCTCTGAGATCCAGATCCCCTTTCACTCTCAGTGCTGCCTTCACCTTCATCCTGGGACTGACTGCCCTCCACATCTCCTTTCTTCATCACTAACGTGGCCTTGCCACCAGGGACTAACTTCTGGAATACTTCACTGAAATTTTTTGACACCTAAAAAAGAAACAGTCAATACACCAGCTCATTTCTACATAGTGAAATCCAATGCAGACAACAGCTGGTTTTATATGATCACACTGTGAATCTGCTTCAAAGCAGAGATCCACATTCATTGTAAGCAGAGTTAGAAGTGAGAAACATATGCTATACAGAGTTGGTTTAAAAGCATCTAAGCCAACTGTTCTTGTAGTATGAGAATTTTTGTAAGTTTTTCCAGGAAAATAGTAAATTAAAACACAGAATACCAGCAAAAGCAAGTATGATTTATTTCAGGAAACTTCAGATGAGATCTCAGTTAAGCTAATGACCATTTAAGAGGAGACTTCATACACTTTGTAATTAAGACCCTTTGTTAACACTAGGAATTTTACTAAATCTGGGGAATGGATTGGTGCAGAGTTCTTCACCCAGACATTTCCCATTAAGGGCTGTACGTAGTACAAAAATACTTCCTTCCTGGTGAATCTAAGAGGTTTAAATTAAAGCCAGAGTTGTCATACGACCAAGATGAGCACCTATTTAAAATGCTAGCCTATTTCTTTATCAGTATTTAAAACCCTCAAACTTCATTACATGATACTGCCTTCTGTTATTACAGATGCACTTAACATTTGCTTCTTCCCATCCAGCTGCTACATAATGGGACAATTTGATTTCAGCCCCAGCATCTTTACAACTGTTGCCGGTTTGTTACCTGTTTGAAAGTCAGCTGAATAGCCTCGTATTTTCTGAGCTCAAGGACATTCATCAGTTCCATGATGGATTTGTAGCCCCTGTCTAGTTCCTCTTGTCTCTTTATCAATTTTTCCTTCTGCTCTGAGAAATTCACAAACTGATCTAAAGCTTTTTTATTCACGTGACTGTATTTCTTCAGTTCTGTATTGCACTGCTCCAGTTTGCGGAATAACTGTAAAAGTAAAAAATTAAAGAATCCAAGTGACTTGCAATTCTAGCCACGTCTGACATCCAAGATGTCTGTGACAGTAATATTTCAGGTCATGAAACCAAGCCCACTTATTACCTGTTTTAAACTTAAAGTCTGATACTTTTCAAAAGCCTCCTGTGGAAGGGAACCCAACTCTCGGATTTTCTTCATGCATTCCTCTTTCTTCTTGAGGAGCATGCCCTGCCTGTTAGTCATTTTTTCAAGTTCTTTTGTATCATGGTTAATGGCATCCATATGCTCCTTTTCCATGTTCTTCCAGCGTTCCATGCTCTTTTGGAGCTCTTTAATTCCTGCTTCTGTTTTGTCAATGGAATTATCCAGATCTGAGATATTGGGTGAGAGTACAAAACCCAGAGTAGTAAGTCTTAAATGCTTGCATGAAATCAGCAATTATCCAGTCAAGTATTTATGAAACAAAAAGATAACCTAAGGAAAAATATTAAGGAGTAGAATCAAATGTAAGACAAAAAGCTCAAAATCCCTCTCTCTTTTTCACCAGGAATATATGGCTTAAAAAACCCCAAACAAATATATTAAAGTCATACTGTTAAAGTCTTGAAAGAGAAGCAAAAAAGTTTGAGTCCTACAGATGTTATCTCCTATTTGACAGCAACTTGGGTTTAGACAGGTTAGACAAAATTCAAGAACTATACAAGACAGTGCTTGTATAAAGGTTGCTCCAAAAGTAGTATGCCCAGAAACCTGTTATCACCAACACATACTTACTGGTATTACAGTGGGCAACTGTGGACACTTTTTTTTTTTTAATGTACAACATGCACAATATCTTGTTTCATTGAAGTTCCAGAAACCTGTTACATACTATGTAACTACTCCAGCACATTTGAAATTAACAATTACATCTAATATTATGGTCTATTTCTAAACCAAAATAAGGTACGTTGTGAACTTTTAAAACCTTGGAGAACTTTCTTTCAACAGAAAAATAAATGATGCTACCAACCATCTGACCGTGCTAGTGTATCTTTCACTCGCTTGTTAATAGCCTCAAGTTCCGATGTCGTGGCAGTAAGAACTGTGCCACCTTCTGTTTCTCGAAGCTCATTCAGTTCCTGTGGGACAAAGGAAATGCCACCAAGCTTCAGCACAGAGGGGAAACAAAAGTGTAAGCCAGACAAACAAGTTATCTTCTGCTACTCTACAAATAAGTGTATCAAATATTTTAATAAAGTTTTAGAGAATAGTTAGATTTTCAAACCAATCCGTCATGATGATGGTCCTGTTTATCTGTAGGTTGTATATTCAGAGCAGGATGTGTCAAAAATCCACATGCCTAATATACTGTGGTGAAATTTCAGTAAAACACTGAACTCTGCTTGTATATAGGGAAGCAAAACCTATCCCAGTTAATGCAGGGTAATAAGTATTTATCAAATGATCACTATGTTAAAGCCCTGGAAATAAACAAAAAAACAGATTGTAAAAGCACATGTAAGAGAAAATCCCTTACTTGTTCCACTTGGTCTAAGCGTTTTCTCAGGTTCTCATTGAGATATGTTTCAACTCTTGTGATAATGCCCTCTAGTTTAATCCTCTCATTCAAAAGCTGTCTGTTTTCCTGGGAAAATAAAAAAGAAAGTATTAACTGCCTTATCTCACTCCTAAAAAACCTTTTTTCCCTTGTTAAAAAACTAAGACAAAAACCAAACCCTGCTCTTCACACTAGTCTTGCACAGAATTGCACAAAATATCACACAGTTCTTTGGACTGTTGCTCTAATTTTATCAGGTAGAAAAGAACCAAATGGTAAGTATTTGTACAGGTGTTTAGTGTAAAAGTCAACCACACAAATCAGTAAGTTTCTTAAACTTCATTAGCATCAGAATCCAATTCTTAAACCTGGAAGAACTTTACAGCCTATATTTAAGTAGTACTCTTTCAACAACACAATTGTCAGACACAACCTTAGTTTTTGTCTCATCTCCCAGCTGCTTAAAGGCATTGGTTTATTTTCCCAATCTGTTCATCATTCTTTTCAGATGATATCTATCGATATTTTGTAAGGTCCAAGCCTAGGAGCAAGGAAACTAATGGTTTAACATAAGTAGCCATAATTCTCACCCAATACAGCTTGGAAAATTCACCCAGCATTTGAGAAAAACATGCAAATACGCTTTGCAGGTGAGAAAGCTCCAAACATGCCTGCCTGCTTTTGATGTAACACTAATTACACTATATTCGTAAGTGACTTTTCACACAAAAGGACAAAAGTTTATTGGAAAGAAAGGTACAACATATAATGGCAAGACATCTTTGTTTCCTTACTTGCTGTAGTTGGCGAATTTCATCATTAAGAGCATCCACACGTTTCTGGTCTTCAAGACTGAGCTGAGACAACAAATCAGTCCCCAGTTCTGCTTTTAATGATTCTCTAGTTGACTCCATAGCATGTAAACTTGCCTCCAAGCTCTGCAAACTGCGTTGCTATGGAACAGATATGAGACAGAATCATTCCTCAGAGCAATCTCCAACTTAGTATGAATTCCACTTTTCTGTTTACATAAACATATTTTTGTGACATATCTCTAGTCATCTTTTCATGCTATGATGTTAAACAGAAAGGAAGGCAAGTTTAACAGTAATCTTAGTGAAATAATTATATATAAAACCAGTAACAGCTTTCAATATCCCTGTACTATACCTTAGGCATAAAGGTCTTTTCAGACTGTTGCCTTTTCTCCTTCAGCATTTTCATCTCTGACAAGATACTATCTCGAGAGGCTTTGAACTTTCTTTGCTGTGTCTCAATTTGCTGCATTTGGTTCATTAGCTGGTCAATCTCATTGTTAATCCATACCGTGGGCTAAGGAAAACTCCGTCCTTGTTGTAAAAATCATGTTATACCTACTAGTACCTTCAACTGTTATTGCTTGCATATTCAGCTGCCAACGAAACAAAAACCAAACAAAATGCCCATAAAAACAAAATATTCAGTTGTATGAGGGAAAATCAAGAACCATCAACAAAAGTAACCTGGACAACTTATCAACACCAAGAACAAACAAGGAAAGCTTCATTTGGCTGTTCATTTTACAACGTAGCACCCAGAAAAACACAGGGATACATCTGAACTTGTAAGGGAAACTCAGGGCTTACTAAAGATTTTGACTCAAATGATAGCAAGAAAGATTTCTCAGTTCCAGAACAGTAGTCCCTGTTAAAAGTTCAATTATACTGAAACCAAACAGAGTAAGGTAATTTGGGAATTTAACTACAATCAGCAGGAATTCAAGCTCCCATTCCTAGTTACAAAATAACAGGCTACCTCTACAATGCACACTAGGAATACTGTTAAAAATAGTTTCCGCACAAATCTTTTTAAAACCATATGCCTACATATCTGTAGTTTAGACAAGACCTAAAGAAGGAGAAAATGCCACACTTAAATACAGAATTGTGGATACACAAATTGGGTCCTGCACATTGCCTACAGGGAGTAATGAGAATGGTGAAAAGCATCCGTTATTGCTGGTGCATGTAAAACCACTTGGCAAGTTCGGTCTATTTAAGTCATGTTTAACAGGCCATTTTGACATTCTTCCACTGACTTAACAAGGTACATACATACTTTTAGAGTTTTACTAATCAGCCAAGCACAGGCTTCAGTGTTCTGCTTATCTGCTGCTACAACAATGTCTCTATAATGCACTGCTGCTGGTCAAAAAACAAAGGAATTTAGTTCAAGGGACAGAATGACCTGGACAATGGAGGAAAAAATTGAATAAGCCTCCCTTGTCCTTTGGAGATCCAATATCTAGAATTCATGGACGCTGTAGCATTAAAGGACTTAGAGAAAAAGGTGACAGTTACTTGAACGTTTGTACAAAGATGCTGAAAAGACCAAACCATCAAGCAACTCAGAGCTTAATTATAATATAATGCTCTCCATCTCCTCCCCACAATGCAAGTGGACTATGTAAGACACCAATTCAGAACACAAGTACTAAAAATACTGTGTGAGTCACAAGAAGCAGTGAAGATTAAGGCAGATAAGGGTATCTGGGTATAGGAGTTACTGCAACACCCCAGAAGGAATAGAAAGCCTCATACTCTAGGGTTTAACCTCATCTCTAAGCTTTAAGGATCAAGATCAAATTTTAACAGGGACAAATTACTAAAGCTCCTTTTTTCTGAAGCCTACAGTGCCAGCCACTCTCTGAAGCAAATTATTGGAAAAGGTATGTTCCAATTACTGTTTTTCAGTCACGTTTTCCCAGAAAAAAGTTTCACCAACGAGTTAACAGCAGTGGTATAGAAACAAAGCAGTGGTATAAAAACTATTTCTTAACTAGCTGCATTGATCTAAAAAACAATAGATGTGTTTAAAGTCTGCTACCTTCACTGGTTGTACACTGATTTTCAAATGCAGGGGTTTTGTTTGTTTCTGTTTTACCATTTCTTTGTTACTAAAAATCCCTACAGTGACATACAGAACCAGGCTGTACAAGCAACAGTCTAAACAAATGCCACAGCTAACATGTAATACTAACAAAAGTTAATCTCTTTTCTATTACTGCAAAATAGCAGCTTTGTAATCCTACAACCTTTCCCCAAGAACAAAAGGATATTTTCAATGTTTCTGCGTAAGTTTTCATTGAGTTTTGCTTCGAGTTCACCAAGTTCTTCTTCTGCCTTTCTAACATCTTTTTGCAACTCAAGCCGAGACTTCCTGGTGTCGTAGTAACCTCCAGTCAAAGCACCGCGATGGCTGACCTGGTCACCTAAGAGCATAACAGACAATTAACTGCACACTCTACACTTGCCGTATGTTCACTGTAGTTTCTACAATACAACTTTGCAGATTAACTAGAACATCTCAACTAACATACAGAAGCACTGCATCAGTGTCAGGAATCACATATATGTGTTTACAGCAATTACAGAAATGTTTATTTCTGTATTCAGTTTAAAGTGCATTTCCTTTCTCAAGGCCTATACAGACTTCTATGGTAGCCTTTAAGCATTACCTACTTTTTTTTTTTGCTTGTTTTGAATTAACTTCTGAAACCATGCAGCTCTAAAGAAAAAATATTTCCCTGAAGGGAAAAATGCAAATGCATAGCACTATCAGTTAAAAAAACCCCACATAATAATCTCAGATGTTCTGTGAGATGGAAAAGGGAGCTGAGTAATTAGCAGCATCTGTGGCTTGTGGAGTATGATGTTCCTGAAAAATTAATCATTTCCTCCTCAGACATCCTTAGGAAGTTTTCATATTGACTTCAAGACAAAAAGCCTACAGTAAGCCCGCAGGGAATCTGCCCTCTAGGCAACTGACAAGAGATACAGATTACTTCAGAGAACATAGCATGCAAATGTGTCTGCTACAGAGAAGAATTCACCTTGCACTTCTCAATAATTAAGACTGTACACTTGCACCCTAAACACTGGTTTGAGTTTGTGGAAAATAAATGCCTGTTAAACTGGATGAGTTCAAACCTAATCTGCTTTACCATTCTCAGGATGGAGATACATAGCTACTAATTTTAGATTCTAAGAAAATTCAACAGCTTGGGTGACATGGTCTACTGTGAGGCGTCCCTGCCCATGGCAGGGGTGTTGGAATTAGATGATCTTAAGGTCCTTTCCAACCCAAACTATTCTATGAAGCATGTACTTAACCAAGTGCAACCTTGTACATCTCAGTCAAGCACACTATTGTTTAAAATAATCTTACTTGAACAACACTAACGGACCATGTTTAATGAGCCTCACATTTCAGGGATTCTGTTTTTACAATAAATAATTTATAAAACTGCAGTATTTACCTTCCAGAGTAATACAATCCATAGTGAAAGCTCTGGCCAGCTGGGTAGACACTTCCATGCTACGACAAATTAGAGTCTTTCCAAAAACATGCTTGAAAGCTTTGTCAAATCTTGGATTGTATCTCAGTTTACTGATCATAGGAATGGCATCCTGAAATGACAGCGATTTTAATTAGAAGAACATATTGATACAAATATGGCACATATATTGCAACTAATTCATATATTAGTATTCAAGAGATCTCTGGAAAAAAGGAACTACTATCAAGAGTAAAAATGGAATACACTCTAGCCTGAAAGTTAAGCACAGTGTAGTCACTGAATTGGCTTCACAGTCAATAATCTTCTAGAATGAAGACTTCTGGAGCTGTGTGTATCATTATTTACATATAAGATGTCAAACCCTGAACTCAAAAGCACAGTACTGTGAATGATACATTGGGAAAAAACAGCTGTCAGTTAGTAGAAGGATGACACACTGGCTGAACATTCCCAAGAAACACATAAATATTCTATGGAAATTAAGTGCAAGATTTTGCAATTTTAGCTGTTAATGGTAGGCTTGAGCCTGAAGTCTACGAGTCTGTCACGAATCTCAACGAGGATTCAACTGCTACTGAAACAGTTGAGTAAGGATCAGAAATTGGCAGTAAAAAAATCTTTCTGCTGAAAAAAATCATTCCTTTCTTGTAAGGGCAGGACATAAACATTAACATAGTTTCCCTAGGAAAGCCCTCCCAAAATAAGCACACTACAAGTGTGCTTGTTTCCTGTTTTTTCCTGTATTTATCAGAGGGAAAAAAAAGAATTTATTTTAAAGAACCTTATTCTGCCATGAGTATTGGAGGAAGCAGCCAACATTTACACAACTCATTACTAAAATTTCAATTAAGAGTGGGTATTTTCTTGAAGTTATTTCAGAACTACTTTTAAATGGTTGTAATTTTTGCATTTTTAAATATAAAAAACCCAACTCATTTCCAGTAACTTTGAGAAATTGTCCATGATTGTAACACCTAACATAGCTCTTCAGCTTTGGTCCATGGCAGCATTTCAGCTTAAAGAATTACAATTCAGTAATAAAGGCAATTATTGATTGTTCAGATTACAATAAAATTCTACCACTTTTTAGTATCACCTATTTACTTACAAGGTGAAGTTAAACTTTAAAGAGCAAATACCTCATAGGAAAGTATTTTCCTATAGCTGAGTTCTTTTTATGTGGAGAAGCATATATTAGAAGTATTTTACTGCAGACATTCACCAGCAAAGCAAGGGCTGGGCAATAAGCAATACACACAGACAGTTCAAGACATCAGCCTTTGTAATTCTCAAGTAGAGGAAGGTTTGAAAGGAACTCGAACTCACATTAGTCTCAGGATAAGCAGTATCTCTCACATCTAGCTTGTTCAGAGGGAGGAAAGTAACTTCTCCAGGAAGGTTCATTTTGTTAAATTCCATTAGGATCTTTGTACTGACCTCATCAGAATCCACAATGTGATAAAACAACCTAATTAACAAGCCCAACAAATAAGCAAAACTTTAATGTGCTGAAAGCACTGATGTATTTCTGCGGGAACAGGAAGCATAGAGGTACCAGTAAATAACAAATATAAAGCTGTATTCCATTTTCTCTGAGTCTGTGCCTCAGAATAAACAAGTGGGTGCATTCTGTTCACTTTCATTAAAACGGGATCAGCCAAGAATTTTACACTCCACCCTCCAGTCACAAATGCAGCTCAATACGCATACAATGTCCCTGTCTGCACAGCCTTTTTTGGCTCAACTGCAAACCTCTGTCCTCCATCCTATTCAATAAACAATATTCATCCCTCTCTGCACAGATTTAGAGAGTTTGCATCTTATGCCTCCGTACACAATCAACAGAAACAGAGACCACATCTATCTCCCTGGGCATGATTGGGACTAGCAGCAGAGATATTGAAAGAAGCTACCTTCTGCAAGCTGAGCTACAGTTTGTTTGTCACTGCTTTTTGTAAACTGTGAGGCACAACAGGATGCAGAGAACTGTGAAATGCTTTGAAGAGACACCTTTATTGATGCAGACACAGATGTGTTAGAAGAGGGACTGCATTTCAAATTGCAGTAGCATCAACATTTCTTTGTGATAGCCTGCAAGATCATATCATCTCTGTCCTCTTTCCTACCCTTATGCTACTATCTACTTTTCATTAAAGCAAGAATTCGTATGACTACTCATGAATTAGAACAGGGGACTGATCACTCAAAAAGACAATTTAAATTAACTTAAGTGTCAAACACTGCAGGAAGTGATGGGTCTCCCAATAGACACTTCTAGAACACACACAGAGACCCATTAACACTCAACATCTTTTCAGGTAGCTCTTAAATGGCAGGTTGACAGTTGAGACCATCCACATCTATGACATTTCTAGTGAAATAATTCTTACTGATTGTTACCATTAAAACATCAGCACTGCTTACTGTAGAATTCATCACAGTGGAAGATGCCACCCATTTTATTCAATATGGCTCTGCCTCACTATCAATCCTTCTGGTAAGTTTCTGAGAAGTGTCAGGAGTGTGGGTATGGGGCCTTTTTTAGGGTCTTCGTATGGTTTTGGTTTGGGTGTTAGGGGTTTGTTTTGACAACATCAAGAACAGCTAGACTCATTTTTAAATAGGCAGAATTCTTCCTAGTTCCTTCTCAAAGCAGTAGCAGTGCAATCATGCTACACAGAAGGCACTGTGACAAAAAAGGACAAGAGCTCAAATTCAAAAGAATAAAAAACTTTCAGTAGCAACCAGCACCAACAACTGATTGTCAAACTGCTGCTGCTTTAACTTTAGCTCTACTTAAGAGCACAATTACCTGTTCCCTGCAGTAACTTCAACACAGGTGTAGAAAGCTGGTTCACATTCGAAGTTATTCATCACAATGCCATGATAGCCATTTAGAACATGCTGGTTTATGCCTTTTCGACGGAAGTGCTCCAAAACTTTGTTTATGCTGTCTATACCATTCAGAATGGCCTGTTAAAATACATCTCATTATTGTACTGCATTTGAAAGATGTAGAAGTAATGTCCGTTCTACCTTTAACTTTGTCAAAGTTCTAGCCTGCTTTTTTGTCAAGTTTCTGCTAACTAACCCATAGCTTTAATTGAAAAATACTTAAATATTTGAGTCCACCATTTTCAGGGTCTTTTCCTTTAAGCAAAAAGAAATCAGAAGTTTGATATGTTTCCCATTTCTGCTTCTCTCCTCAACGACCTTGACCTTACAAAACTCATTTCTAAGGCATTCTAGAGCCACAAATATCTGAAAAATTCCACTTACGAATATAATTTGTCCATCTTAAATATGACATTAAGACCATAACCAAAAGAAATAACTGTCATTTCAGATATGACTATGACTTGCCCATTAAGAATGAGAAGAAAAGCTTCTAAAAGGAATTCTCAAATGCATGGATATTACCTTTCCTGTTGCTGCTCTGAGAAGCTGCTGTTTCTTCTCTAAATCCTCTCGCTTTGCAGCAAGAGCTTGTTGCTCTGCATTCTCTTCTCTCCATAGATAACTACAGAACACAAGTAATTAAAACATTTTAAGCATGAATGAAACCTGAAGATTTTTTTTACTATTATTATTCTCAAAGACTGCCAATCTAAGGGGAATGAGAAGTGCAGGAGGTCATACATGGCCAGATTTCAAAAACATACCTACATGCCATGTTAATAACTACACAGTTGGGGTCCTTCACATTAAGTGAGATTCAGACATATTTCAATTAGTTACTAACTTTCTTTCGCTCTGTAGCTCATCCTTTTTATTTTTCACTTCATAGTATTTTCTGTCCAGTTCTTCAACACGAGCCTTCACTTCGTTAAGATCCTGGTCCAGTTTCTAACACAAAGAATAGAACAGTATGAAACTAAAGCTAGCTGTTCAAAAATTCTTTCTTTTATTCAGTACTAAATTACTACTGAAAACTCAGAAACAATTCCTACAAATGTTTTAAACAATTTACAAGAAACTGCAAAACCACTAGGAATAAACATATCTTTGTAAGGGAGCAATAACAAGGTGATGTTATCAAGAAGACTGCAAGGCAGGTACTAAGATGAACTATGCCTGTGGGTATTCACAGGGAAATGTCTGTTATGGTAAGGAACTGACTCCAAACATTAACTATCACACACATAACACTGTAATCATGTTCTGAAGTAGCATTTGTGATAGGAACATGTATACTAGTCTTGCATACCAGAGAATCATAGAATAGTTAGGGTTGGA